TTCAAGAGTCATGAGTCTTTATAGTTTTGTTTAAACTATTTAGAAACTTTTTAAAATTTTCGCCATAAGATTTATAGCTTTCAGAGATTTGGGAGACCAACATTAAAATACGAAAGAAAACAGGTATTTTTGAACACCCTATGCCCGAAAGTCAAGCAATAAGCTTGTAACTTGTATCGATTACTTAGTTCTTAATTGAAATAACTGCGTAAAATTTTATAAACCTAGAGTATGAAGATTTGGGCAGTTTTACAGAGAAACTAGTTTTTTTGCCTTATGTTTTTTTAAGATATAAGTATTTTAGGTAGTTCTTTTATACTTTGTATGCCCCGAAAAAAAAATTTTCTTCTTAATTTTGTTGTGAATCATATTTGATAACCAATGTAAGAACTTTGAATTTTAATATCGTAAAAATTTAAAAAGTTCAGATAAGTAGTCATAAGTTAGAAAGAAGTAGTTTTTAAGAGAAAGCTCTAAATTATCAGGGGTTTTCCACAAATTATATTTTGTTTCATAAAACAAAACTTAGTAATAACAATTGATAATACCTTACAATAATAGTCTGGAAATTAAAATATGATGGTATAAAAAAAAAAGAGAACATGCAAAAGAAAACATACTTTTATGGGAGATGATCCCCCACTATGATCTAATTTTTCCCACAATCTCATTTTTTGATCCTATTCTCCACAATCTCATTTTTATTAAATCTTGTTTAATTGTACAAAATGAAATGATAGGAAAACCAATTATCTATTTGAGCTTTCTTTCAAAAAATACAAAAACTAAATAGATAATTGCTTGAAACTTTTTAAATTTTTAAGATATTTAAATCACACTTTTTTCAATTGCTGCCTAATACTACAAAATTAAGAAAAAAATTATTTAAAATTTTTTCTGTGCTTGTGCAGTATAAAAAACTACATTAAATACTTATATCTTATGCAGTTTTTAACCATTTTTTAAAAAAATTTTAGATAAGTAATTTTGTAATTGATTTTAAATTTCTCCGAAATATTGTTCAATTTCATTGAATATTTATTAAGTTATAGCAACAAAAAAAATTAGTTTTTTTTATAAAAATGTCCATATTTTCATAAATATTTAGTAAAGGTTTATGAAATTTTATGCAGCTATTAAAAATAACAATTAAAGTAATCAATACAAGTTATAAGCTTATTGCTTGATTTTTCTGGCATAGGGTGTTAAAAAATACTTGTTTTCTTTCATAATTTATTGTCGGTCTCCCAGACCTTTGAGAGCTTTAAATATTATTGTTAAGTATTAAAAATCACATTTTCCAAACATCTACTTTCTTTAAATAATCTTTAAGTATTCTTTGAGAAATTTAGACTATATTCAAGAACTCAGTGTTTTTTCCATTATTGTAGGGTAGAGTATATGTATATCAGCAAGTAACAAACCATTGGACATGTAAGCTATCATCTTAATTGTAATTGTAAAACTAATTATTCACATAACCAGGTGAGGAAATCTTCTGAATATTAAAAACTTAGAAAACTGATATATCTATTAAGTTTTCAATATGAGCCAATAACTATAAATTAAAAATTAGAATCATATTTACAAATAATTGTATAATATCATTGTATACCATAACTTTTTTACAGCTGTATTTATATACAGAAAATAACTGAACTAAAGCTCAAATAACCAGAATTATGAAATTTTATTAAAAAAAATAATCAAATATACAGTAGTGGTAAGGGTATGGTAAAATAAAGATTTATCTTACCAATCTTTTGTCAATTATATTATTAAAATTTGATTAGGAAACAAAACAAACTATTTTACTTATTTCACTTTGTATGTACAGTTTTGAGATCAAAATAATCAGTTCAAATGAATTTAAGGAATAAAAAAGAATTTTTCCTGTAATAAGTTTTCAAAAATCAGAACAATGAAAAATTTGTTTCAAGCAATTGGAATATATTTCAGTTGTTCCTTTTTTAGATGGAAAAATCCAAAGATATCAAGTAGCATGATCAATTTACTAACTGCAAATATTTTTTAGTTTAGTTGTAATACTTGAGCCCACCTATAGTATCAATTGATAAAGATTGAAATGGTTGCTCTGTACTTCATAACAACCCAAATCTTTCTTTGGTGAGATTTTTTGTTAATTGACAAGTTTCACAACATTTAACATAGAGTTATTAATTATTATATTAGATCAATAGTAGAAAGGTGTGATTAAAGCAATAATTTTTTTTAAATACCAACATGACCATATGAGTTTTTTCTAATATATTCATTCTTAAAAAAATGGTATTACTATTTTATGCAAACCTTTTTTCTTAATTTTTGGTAAATCTTTAATTGTTGCGAATTTAGAATAATTTAAATTATCATTTAATTATATTTAAATTCGTAATGAGTTACAATTGGATTATTATCAAATAAACTAAAAAAAAAAATACAGTATATCTAGAATTCATATGAGCATCAAGATTATTTTGACCCTTAACATATTTTACTTTATCATAGATAGATAATTTTAATGACCATCTTAAAATCTACCTGTAGGATTTTTTATTTTCTTTAACCAAGTCAACACAGAATTAATATATTTAATAAATTTATAATAGAAATAATTTTATTTCCATGCAAATAACAATGCTATTTATTTAAAGCATTAATATGAGCTAAATATTCTTATTCAGTACATAATAGAATAGTTTCTTTCATGTTGAGATAAACATTTAGCTACTAGCTACATCTAGTTAGCTAACAAAAAGCTGTGGGGTGCATTTGGCAATCTGGATAAAAACATCTAGTTCCAAAACAGCAATTGCTTCTTTTTAGGCATCAACATACATAATGGATAATTAGGCATGTATAATTAGGATTGTACAGAGTTAAAACAGATTTAAAAAAATAAAGACAACTTAAATTGATTGAATGATGTTTTACATTCTATAGTTCAATTCCATTTAACATTTTCCTTATGGAGATTTTTGAGTGTCAGTCTAAGTTTTGGATAATTTTTAATAACTTTATGTTATACATTTATACTACCAAGAAATCGTAACATTTCTTGGAGATTTCAACTGTCTAATAGCTTCAATATTTGCATTTTTAGGTGAATATTCACCGTTTTTTATTTCTTATCCTAAAAATTTTATTTTAGTTTTAATTTTTAGGATGACATTTTGAGAATTTAAGATTAAAATTATCAGTTTCACATATTTTAAAAATGATCTGTAAATGATCTAAATGTTCTTAATAGTTATCAGAATAAATGATGATATCATCAAGATAGTTTAAAGCAAAGTCAACTTTATGTTTTTGTAAAATTTGACGAAAGCTCTTTGAAAGATAGCAAGGGAATTTTTCCAAATCAAACCATAAAAATGCATATCGACTGAAATTGGTTGTAAATGCTAATTTTTCCATATCATTTGGATCTATTGCTGAATTTCAATAGCTACATTTTAAATCAATAGTTGAAAAATGTTTGGCATTGAACAATTTATCAATTAAATTATCAATTCTAGGTATAGGTTCAGAGTCAGTTTGGTTAAGCTTTCTAAAATCTACACATAATCTGGTTTTATTACTTTCATCTTTCTTGTAAACAAGAGGGGGGTGGGGACTGGTGATAAGTATGGACTAGGAAAGGATTTGATTATGTTAGCTTTTATTAAATTATCAATTTGATTTTTAATTTCAACATTATCTTTTTCAAATGCTCTATATGTGTGTAATGAAATAGGCAATTCAGAAGTTAAATTTACTTTCACAGATTTAACTTGCCAATATCAAAACTAATTTTAGCAAATACATTATCATAACTAGGTAAAAAAAAATTTAAATTTGCCCTATCTTCTTCAGAAATTCTAGGTTACATATTTTGAATTTAGAATGTCATGTTGCAGGAGTGGTACTTTAGAAATACTAAACCAGAGAAACTGAGTTATTATTTTATGTAATACAATGGTGGCCAGGACCACAACAACGAGGTATCTACAGTACAGAGTGATGATTAGTTTGACAAGAAGGATTTGACCTTGAAAAGGGTTTTATAACTTTCTGGACAATATATTTAATTATTAATAGGTCTTGGTAACATGGGACTGATCAATTTCATAAGCTACCAAAGACACATCATGACATTTTCTGAGATAATTAGATCAATATTATTACTTTCCTTGTGGGAAAGGTTTTAATTGATTGTGCATTAGATATAAGTTCTATTTATAGATTAGATTTAATACATAATTCTTATAACATTATATATATTTCTTCTCTTTTCATTAATCTTTATATTATTTTCCATGTTTTCTCTGTATTTTTAAATATTTTATGAGTTCTATATATTTGCAGCTTATACGCAGTAAATAAAACATATTAATTTTCTTCATTTTTCTCTTTTTCTTTTTATCCTTTTTGTCTTCATTGTGCTATATATTTTTTTTTATTCCATTACAATTATTTCTGTTAGATATGTCATATAACCATGTAGAATTATATTAAGTCCAGATAATGTAAGTAACAGGAGAAATTATGTAAGCATGAGACAGACTTCCTTAATATACAGATTACCATGTTCATTGTGGAATCAAGTGATATCACATGCATGACAAATTTTTTCTACAGTTTGCGTCAATAAAACAGATTACGTGGTACCAAAATGCATATTGTCATTGATATTATTTTGTGGTAAATATGCTTTCTCATGACAATAATGTGATAATAGCATAATGTTGTCTAAAGTTTATCCTTATATTACTATCTAGTCTAAGAAGTTCTAAAAAATTAACCCTAACATCTTCCTATCTCTTTCTCTCAAAGACGATGAAACAGCTACATTTTTCATTTTCTCTTTTATTCATTACTCCTTTACTCCTCCCCAACTGCAAAATGATTCATGATTTAAATTTTATAAAATAATGCAATTTATAGTATGTTTGTATTTTGGTGTTCAGTGTTTCATTCTTCATTTGTTTCATTGTTTTTAAAATGTTATTTCATTTTAGGTGGCTGATCCTTTAGAGACAAATTATGCTGCTGCATCTGCTAATTCCCAACAATGCTCAAGTTGCCCAAATCCACAAGGGGATTCACTCTCAATGCAACAGTCTGTAGGACTACCATCACCAGATAACAGTATGATATATTTTTATTCCTATTGTTTGCTAATATTTTTTACTGTTTATTTATTTTATTGCCATTAAAAAACAGTTTATTTAAAATATAGAGTAACCTGCAATTATTTCCTCAATCACTATAATTGTGAAATAATTAAAGTATCTTATGTGCATCTCATCTAAGATTTCATCTATTTAAATTATCTGATTGAAATCAGAAATTTAAATCATGCTTTAAATTAATTATTATATAAAATAATTACTGATTTGAATCATTAAAGTAAAAGCAATAATTGAGATAATTTGCCATTATTTTAAAGAAAGAGTTTTTGAATTGTTAGAGCAAAATAGAATTTTACTAAAATAGTAAAATGATTTTAAAGTTTTTATCAGATTATTATCATAAATGATTACTAATTAATTATGACTACTAACAAACAAAGGATTGCAAACTTTTGTCAAAGCAATGCTAAGCGATAAAAGTATGCGAATACCAGATATTACCTGTCTTTGCAATGTCATGAATTTGTTTTAAGATCTAAGATTTAATATGTAGAGTTATTAATACATAGTTCTTGGTCCCATACTATTGAAATTTTATGTTAAAATTCTCAGTGTGCAATGTATAGAATTTTAATTGAATTGATGGAATAAGGTAATAGAAACATATAACCAGTTATGTCTTTTCTGATACAAGTGGGTTAGTTATTTCTTATTCATTATAATACAAATTTAAACTTAAACATGCATAAATTATGTTTGCGCAAATAATTGAATGAAGATTTAATAATTTTAAAATATCAATATTTTTTATCAATTCTAAAATTCAACTTATCTGATCTGAAAAACTAATCTGATCTTAACCCCATTTTAGGCCAAGCATAGAATTTCTATAAAATGTGGTGTTATTTTTATTGAAATATGCTTTCATTCAATTTGTTAATTTCATGAGTGAAAAATTATATTTTTTTCAAGAAATAAAGTTGTACATACAAGCACCATTCACTAAATCAATGAACAAATCATTTAGTTGAAAGCTTGTTTTATGAAATTTTTTATTTACTGACTTGCAACTTTAATATATTATAAAAACATATGATAAATCTCAAAAGGAATACTTAAACATTTAAAAAAAAGTTTCATTTGTCAATAACCGTTTTAAGTTAATAAGCTAGAGTTGTTCAAAAGTTTCTAAACAGAAAGTGATTACTCTAATTAAATTTCTAATATATTATAGATGTCTTCAGAACCCTTGACAATAGCAGAAAAATAAAATTAGTGAAAAATATTCGCCACAGTGTTAATAAAAAAATATTTAATGAAATGGTGCATTTACGCACCTTTGGCCAAAAATGGGTTAATTATAAAAGAAATTTTCATAATTAAAAAATATTGTTATTTTTTTTTAAATTCGAAGTTTTTCAATCAAATGAAACTACCTACTTTATCAGAGTGATGAAAAATTAGTGAAAAAAAATCATAGGAGAGAGATTTTGTCTAGTGTTACAAAATAAAACAACTGCAGGAATCCATAGTTCTTTCTGAGAATTAAAAAAGGCTATGTGTTTTCCTTGCATTTGAATAATGGAATGTGTGAGTAGAAAAAAAAACATTTGTATTGAGATTGTTTAAAAATATTAAGCTTTTTTTCAATAATCGATTAGAATTTTGCTGCTGTATGTTGATGTAGCTTGCAAATGACATGGATGTACAAAATATTGTGGATTGTATGTATTTAATGTATTATAATGCTAATATACTTCCAGTTTTTTTTTTAATTTGAACATATTAAATTAAATGCAAGGTCTTTGTTCATTCTGTATGATATCGGCACACAATATTTTGTTGGTCATTTCGATCAGAGCCTGCTTAGAAAGAGAGTGAGTTGCAGTTCAGTCTAAAATTTTGCTTTGCAATGAGATGTTATGTGTTTTAGGCTGACAGACCTACCTGTGATAGTCATGCCGCTTACAACTTTCATATATTTTTTTTTTGTAAATTTATTATTTTTGTAATTTTGTGTATTTATTTTCTGTAAATTTTGTAAAAAAATGTATGTAGTTTCTCTAATTTAATCTTAAAGTTATTTATAAGTCTTTTATTATTTTAGTATGTAGGTACTAAGTTTGAACGATAGACTTACAGTCTAAATTTACAATATTTAAAACCGTTATTCAGCTATTAAAATCTATCTAAATCTATCTGTTTGTGTAATTGAGTAAACTCTATGAATTTATCATTTGTATTAAAAGTTTCACTAAATTAATTCATGATATAATCTGTAATTTTGGGTAATAATTATTAACCCAGTTGTATACTCAATCTTTTTTGCAGTCTATTTGAAACCCAATCGGCTGTTTTCAGATAATTAATATCCTAATGTCTTAATCACAGTTAAATTTGAAGCATACTTGAGCTAACCATAAGCTTCAGGTGTTATAAATTTTTTGATTTTTTTTAGTCATTAATTTTTACATAGGCGTATAGTAAGGCTTTGTGTTAGCTTGTGGTTAGATTATTCAGCAATAAGTGTACACATGTCGATTGCAAATATGTTTAAATTTTTGTTCCAATCGATTGACAAAATTTACTCATGGTAGTCTAAAGTCATTTTAAAAAGATAATAAATCAAAGTAGTTCTAAATATTTGAAAGATTTATTAAAATATAACACTAGTTAAAATATGAAATTAAACACTGGTTTAAACATCTTTAAATTTTAACTTTAATTTATTGCCACAAATGAGCTTAGGAGCATTTTTTGTTCAAGTTTTAAATGACTTGTTCCTAGATTCCAGTAAATAGTTCTGATTCACATCTTCAGTTGTTTTTCAGTATGATTAATTGATATCTCTTTTACTTTATACTACAGATGGGACTACTGATCAAAAACCAGCACTTCCTCCAAAACCTTTTTATGGACCACCAATTTACAGAGAACCACCCAACCCTCCAAATCATGATGTCCCCAATCATCATCATCACCCAGATATTTGCATGAACACATCTACACCACCACGCCCATCGGTAAAAATATATAAATTTATATTCACACTGCATAGAAATGTAAAATATAAACATGTGTATAGTATTTTATTTTCATTTAATTTAGGATCCATTACCTTATATGCATCATGCTCACCATTCTGAAAGACCAGATCGACCTGGTTCTCGAACACATGCTTGGGTGCAAGAACATAAGGTACAAAAAAAGTTATTTTTTGTAATGATGCAAAAAAAGTAAAAACCTCCTTGAACAACTTCTGGATATAAGGATTCTATATAGTTTCAACTGTGAAATGCAATATTTCAGACTGAAAAAGCTTGTCTTAGATAATTTAAATGTTTAATTGTAATTTTAATAGTGTCTTAAAACATTTATAGCTTTAGCATTGAAAATCAAATTAATGATTTGTTTGTATGGATTTTAAAAAAATTATTTCAAAAACATGGTTTTCTTATTGATTAATTACTTTAATTTTATTATCTTAATGCTGAATCAAATATGAATGTAAGCTTGTATAAAAAAGCACGTTTTATGACATTTACTTGCTTTAAATTGTTACCTAAATTTGCATTTTAAATTTTTAGAAATATTAGTTTTTGGTGCACAATATGTTCAACAAAAATATGGTCCGGAATTCTGAAGTTTTTTTGGAAAAGTAAAAAAAAAATATGAGTGAAATGCTATGCAAACATATTCTTATTAAGCTAAAAGCAAAGTTATATATGTATTTAATTATTATTGAAATAGTCATGACATTGGACAGTTAAAACTTATAAGTTGACAATTTCTCACTAAGTTAAATATAGCTTAACTGCTTTAAATTAAAAATTCTTCGAGTTTTTTATTTCACTTTTGTTCTTGTGTTATATTTAAAATTTGTTTATTATTAAAAGTTATATTTAATCCTAGACTTCTGGAAAACTTGTTGGTGAAAAATGGTCTTCCCTTCAAAGGAAACTCCGATCTTTTCTAACACAATCTACTTCTAGTAAAGTATGTTTCGAGCTCAGTTAATTTCTTATCTATTTTCAAGTGCTTTTAAATATTATATATATTTTTTCCTTTCTATGAGCTTTAATAAAATTTCTCTCTAATTGTTAATTATGAAATATGTTCCGTAATTATCAGTTTGGATAATTTAAGTTAAATCATCTATTTCCTCCTTTGGTTTAGTTCTGCCATTTTTCCCACTAGATGTAACATATGTTTTTAAAGAAGGTTATTAATAGCTATCAGCTTTTTTATTTTACAGGGCCTTTTTTATTTTTACTTTTTTATTTTTTTTTCCGCCTCTTACCGGATTTTCAGCTTTTTATGTTTTTTTTAGATAAATTTTCCTCTTTTTCTGCCTATTAGTCACCATTTCGAGAATCTTGTATATTCTAACATGAAACACTTTTCTTACGAAAACTAATTTTCCTCCTTTTCAGTACGAGGTCACCTTTTATATTAGCCAGTAAAATTGCATGTTTTCTTCTAACAGGGACAACAAAATATGATAAAACATATTCTTTGTGACATTCAGTGACAAAACCAGATATTTTATACTTTTTAGCATCTTTCTGTCGTAAATTGCGAAAACGTCTTAAGGAAATTGGAACTAACTTTGAAAACTAGTTATGTTAAACAATTGGTGGTGTATGGTTTTGATTTTTTTAATATACATTTTCCCATACATAATTTTCGCTAAAGGAAGGGAGGAATTGTGTTCCGCATCGAAAATCTCGTAATTTCTGTGGGGCTGAGTTTTCTTTGCTTTGCCTTTGGCATATATATATATATATATATATGTGTATATATAAATATATTTAGCAAAAATTCAGCTTTTAAAAAGTTTCACTCTTTCTTATCTTTGTTATCTATGACAACATGTTTTTTCGATCATTGCTCTAACGATCCTTCACTGACAGAATTTCTCACTAATCATCTTCATTTTTGTAATATGCATTTAGTTTTCGCCCGATATGTAATGTTTCTCCAAGTTTTAAAAATGTTAGTTGTGCTAACTTTATTATCCTAATGCTTACCAACTAGTTATTTTAATTTTACTATTATACATAGGCAAGTTTTGTTTTTATCAATTGACTTGTGAGTTATGTTTGCAATTTCCTAGTTTCTACATCAATCATATTTCATACGCAAATATCACTTTGTGTATTTATGCGATTTCAAAATCAAGCATCATAATTTGTGTTCACACGGTTTAAAAATCACGCACCAAGGTTTGTATTTATGTGATTTAAAAATAAAGTTACGTGATTTAATGCATTGGGATTAGTTTTCTCACCATTTAATATCAAACATTGTTATTTCATATTCATGCTATTTTAAAATCAAACATTATGTTTTCTGTTCACGTGGTTTAAAAATCTCATATTATGATTCGCATTTATGTGAATCAAGAATAAAACAATATAACTCTCATTTACTTGATTTTAAAATCACACAATGTGATTCGTAGTCTTATGATTTTATATCAAGCATCGCAGTTCGTATTTACAGGATTTAAAACAAACTATTGTGATTTGTGTTCACATTGCTGAAATATTACTCTTCGAGATTCGTATTCATGAGGTTTCAAAATTTTATAGCACGATTTGTACTTACAGAATTGTGATTCATATGAACATGATTTAAAAATTACATATCACAATTCATATTTACATGAATTTAAAAATCAAATGTTATTCACATTCATGTGAATTTAAAATCAAAAATTGTGTTTCCTATTCTCGCGATTTTGAAATCTAACATAGTGATTCGTGTTCATGCTGTTTAAAAATCTCACATCCCAGTATCATACCTTTTAGACTTAATTTTTTTCTGGGATATCATATCTGGATTCATATTCTGGAATTTCCACCTTTTATGTTTTTCTAACCACTGTCATCCTTAATTTTAAAATGATGTTTTTCAAATTTATATTATGCTGATTGAACCCTATTTATTCAAACTGTTAATATCTATCAAATATATATATATATATATATATATATATTTTGTATAAGAAAATATTTCATAGTTAACTTGAAGTGAGATTTGGTAAATTGTCTAAATGGCAGTTTGCAAGCACTGTAATAAGTTTGTTTCTTTTCAACAACATGCAAAATAATTTGTCACTCTGTTAAATTTCTGAGTGAGCATTACTGAAATATTTAGTATTTTTTTCCTAAACAAGTCAAATTTATGTTTCAGAAAAACAGAATGACTTCTATTTGCAGCTTCCATAATTTTACATTTTAACTTACATCTACTGATTATTTCTGCATTCAATTATTAAAGACCTTGAAGTCCTAAATTTTGAAACATTAATTTAAATTTTAATTAAACCAATTTTAAATTTTTTGTTGTATGCATTTTTTATTTTATTTAATGGTTTGCATCAGGATTTTGACTTTAAGATTGTATAAAAAACAGCAACAAGTTAGCTCAATTGTTTTTAAAATAAATAAACTGCTATATATGAAAGGGGCAGAATTGTATAGTATCCTTTTTAGTGCCATTTTTGCATTTTAGAGCATAAAAGAAAACTAGTTTTTACTAAACTAGTTTGTGTTAAAAAACTAGTTTGCTACCTGCTTTCCAAGTTTAAAGGTGTATACTATAATTATATTTTTAATCTCAATTAACTACTTGAATTTAAATTTTAAACAATTTTCTTTTGAGTAGGAGCTTACTGAGTTAGAAAAGGGACCAAATGATGAGGAAAAACCTAGAATTGAGGTATTATTTGAGTCTTACTTAGTAACTTTTTTGTGTTAATGTGTCATGAATATTTCCTTTTCCTATATTTATAACATTTTCAGGAGTCTCAGGAATATAGTATGCCTGGGTTTAATGCAAATCCTTCTTCAGTTGCTGACCAACGTTTAAGTTACATATCTTCTTCTTCATTCAGTGGGAATAGTGTTGCACTTAGCCTTTCTCAACCTGTTACTCATATGCATCACTGTAGACCATATCAAGTTGAAAGGTACTACCTGATTTTATGATTTTTTCATGGCATTATTTTTACTGCCTGGTAAATTTACCATTTTGCTATGCTGTAGCTAATGAAAAAACAGTAAGTTAAATATATGTTGATATCAGTCGAATGATTATATAAGTTGTACATATAAACATATTATTAAAATCTGCACTTCTTTCGTGGACTATCTGTTCAAAGTTGAAATTTAAAATAAATAAGGTATTATTTGATTACTAAATTAGCTTAAAATAGATATTCTCTTAAAATTTAATTAAAATAAATATCTTAGCATATCTTGATATGTTTTTTTAATGGAGATTTTTAATGCATCATAAACACCATAGCTCTCGATTTCAAAACATTAAAAGTAGTTAATATTTCTAAGCATATATTTATGATAATTTCTTTTTGTGAGGTTTTTAATTTTTTGGGTGGTGGAAAAAATTACAGTTCAATTTGCAGTTAACCATTCTTGCTTTCCGGATTTTTGTCCAGTATATTTAACAATATTATTTTTTACTTTTGTTACATTAGTTGAATTATTTTTCATAAAAATTATCTTTTCCAATCCTTATTCTGTATTTGAAGACTTTTAAATATTTTATATGTTAAGTTATGTTTATCACCTGGGTACTAAAAACGTTTTCTTAAAAAAGTTGTTTTGGATTTTTTTAAATTTTTTTATTGAGTATAATGACTTCTGGACATGTAGTACATTGTTATGTTTTACTCTTTCTACACATATATTATAATCGTATTCACAAACCTTTAAGTTATTTAATTCTTATTTTGACTTCCTTTTCAGACACCCTTTTGCAGCTTCAACCAATGTTTCTGAACATGAACATGACCATGAAGAAGCTACTGATCCAGATCAGTTACGTGATACATGCAGCAAATTTTTTGCTCGAGAACAGAGAATTAGCTGGTCAAATTATCTTAGTCCAAGAGTAAGACAGCATTTGTTTTATTATTCAAAAAAAATTTGCAGTACCCAATTCTGTTTTATTTGTTTTTATTATAAAAATTATGTTTTATGAATTAAGTTGCCTGCCTTAAATGATTGAGGTAATGCCTAAAAAACTTTTTCAAAAGACCTAACATAATTTTTAAATAATTAAATTCCAGGTTTTACTGTTTTGTATAATTTTATAAGTATGTGCTTAAAAAGTCTTAAAAGCACAAATAGAAATAGTTGTTGAAAGGCATTTTTAATTATGCTTGAATTTTAATTGTCCTAATTTAGTTATGATATTTAAGTCTTAAAAATTCTGACTAGCATTTTAACATCTAAATATTTATCCAGGAAAACTTTTGTTTACTGTGCAGTTAAGATTTTTTGATAAATTTGTATATATTTTTTTAATTTCTTTTTTATTACTCTTTTATAGAACTGCTATTCTAACAACATCAAATCATCTTATGATTATGATAAGTTAGTGCCAAAAGAAGTTATTGGGCGACCTTCCCAGGAAAAAAGGCCTGAAGTACCAGTTAATCCTGAGGCTATTTATGGAGGTATAGCTCCTTTTCCTAGTTTTAGTAGAACTCATGACTCTGTATCACAACCATCTCAATCACAGCAACCTGATTTGCAATCAGGAGTTGCAAGTGGAGCTTGCTATGCCAAATCAGTACACAACACAAATGAAGAGAGTTCTATACCAGCTCCTTCCAATGAAGTTAAAGTGCCAAATAAAAGTAATGAAACTGTATCTCCTGATAATTTGCAGCTTAATTCTACAGATTGTGGTGATAGTGCTGAAGTGTACAAATCTTCTTCTGAATCAGGTAGAGGTACAATGCACAGTAGTATGCATGGCTCCAAAAGTGTTGTTTCTCCTCACAGTAGTGGTGTTAGTGTTGCAAGCAATTTAGATACCAGTCTGGATTCTGATCACAGTGTCAATGGTGGTATCTGGGATCAACAAGCTCGTGAATGTCAGGATAAACACTATACTAAGGATTGTCAAGTTAGTAAAGTTAGGCATGTATATGAGACGCCAAATACATCTATGACTTGTAGACAGACTAATGAAAAAGATGAGCAGAATGATGTATCTAGTGAAAGTCTTTATGATAATCCCTCTCATCAAGCTGTTTCCCTTGCTGCTTCACCTCTTGCAAGTGCAGAAAATTCTCCAAAATTACCATCAAGATCCAAGTATAAATTTTCAATGAGGTATGTGATATTTTTTATTGTATTTTTCCAAAATTGATTGCATTCTTAACTTCATTCTCTAATTAGAGTTGGATAAGTTAACATTTCTGTGAAAAAGTTTAATTATTTCAGGTTTCTGCTGGCGACTAAAAAGTGACTGTTTACTATTTTTCTTTCTTTTCTTTTACCTTTGGCAACTATGGCAAAAAGTTGAAATTTCTATCAGATTTAGACAATTATTTTTTCATATATTGAAGTGAAAAAATAGATAAATATTTTTATGCTTTTATTCATGAAACAATGGGAGTAAGGAAAATTGAAGTTTGACAATTAGAAGGGAAAAGAAAAAGCATATGTTCTTTAGAGTTGCTACAATGCGACCAGTTTCTGTTTGCCAAATTTTTCGTTGCATTGAGGGTGGAAATGTATCATAGTTGGCAGAGAGACTAATAATTGGATTCATTTTCACTCTGTACACTGTTTCATCGACCTTTAAATCTGCTACATTAGCTTTATTATCTTTAATATTTAACTATATGCTACTTTGTTAATACGGAGAAGAATTTTTTTTATCATTTCTATTCAGCTTTCTTCATGCAATTTTTATAGTACATGGGCAAAATGTAATACTTCAGATTCACTTTTATTCTCCGCAAATTAAGATTCGCACGTCACTGCAGGCTTTGGGATGTATAATCTATGTGATCTTTAAGTACCTCATTTATCAAATTTTATATACAAATAATGTTTATTATATAATATTTGATCAATGTGGTTCTTGGAGATCGCATAGATTAAACATCCCAAAGCATGTTGTGATATGCGAAGTAATGCAGGTTTGAATCCAAATAGTACCTGGTTGATATGAATTCTGCTCTAGGCTTTTACACCAAGCATAGTGCTAACTAAAAAATATCAGCAGCTGTAAGTGGATCATGAGTTAAAATTCTCTTGCTATTGAGCTGACTGTGGGAAGTTTTTGTGGTACCACACGATGTATCACATCCTGAGATTAAAATTTCTGTTTAAATTGGTTTATCCAAGGTTTTTGACAATTTTTCTCTTTTGAGTGAGAGTAAAATATTAAAATTTCATGGTAATGGGATCAAAGATATGGTTTTCTTATCACATCTATAATTAAAGAAAATCAACCTAATGCTCAAGATGTATTAGAAAACAAATAATCTAATTTTTCCCTCACCAAAGCACCAAAGTATAAGTAATTCCTTATAACCTGTTATAATATTTCTAAATTTAATGTCTCCCATTAATAAGTTTTTCTCCACATCAATTAGTGGTGATAAATTATGGTTGTTTGCAGATCAATTATGTGGTAAACAGTGTACCCCTTTTTTTAACATGGTGAGTGCTTGATAATAAAGACCACTTTTGGTGTATTGTTTAATGCCTGTTTGCTTAACTAAACATTTGATAACTTCAAATCATCCCATAATACTCTACACTTAGTGTAATAATAATATGCTTAACATTGAAAACAAATGCATTCATTCAGATTAAAATTGTTGGGAAACTTGACAAACAGAAATTCTTTATTTTAATGTTAGGAATCAATTCAGTAAATGTTAAAAATAATTTTAGACTACTTTAGTACATCATTTAACTTTCAAATAAATTTATTCATCTTTCAAAGTAACTGATATGATTTTGCTGACTATGTAAACTTAGCAATATTTGCATGGGATGAAACCTTTTGACATCCTTTCTTAAAGACAGCCTTGTCTATATGGCATTTGTAATTATGAATTGTAATTTTTTTCTTTAAACTAATGTATTTAAGGGGATTCCCTCGCCTGTCTACTCTTTAATCTAGCTCTGGAGAAATGTATCAGAGATAGTGGATTAGACCGAAAAGGCACCCTTTGGAATAGATCAGTCCAATTACTGGCATATGCCGATGACATCGATGTCATAGGAACATCAGAGAGAGCTGTGAGAGAGGCCTTTCTGTCTCTTGAAACTTCTGCCACAAATATGGTCCTTACCATCAATGAAGATAAAACTAAATTTATGGAATCTCCAGCCACAACTGTAAATCATGATCCTTTATTCATAAATGGTTACACCTTTGAAAAGGTTAATGAATTCAAATACCTTGGAACAATGATCAATCACCAAAACAGCATAAAAACAGAAGTAGACAACAGAATTAAAATGGCAAACAAGTGTTTCTTTGGACAAAGAAAGCAATTAGGATCAAGCCTAATCAGTCGAAAAACTAAAATTAAAATTTATAAGACTCCTATTCTACCTGTATTGCTCTATGCAAGTGAAACATGGACACTAAACGCAAACACTCAGCTTACTCTTGGTGTTTTTGAAAGGAAAATCCTTAGAAATATTTTTGGCCCAGTACAGGAAAGAGGCTGTTGGTGAATCAGATACAACTTTTAATTATATAGACTCTATGGACAGCCACAGATAGTGCAGGTCATCCGAAGCAATAGATTAATATGACTTGGCCATATCTGGAGAGGTCCAAAAAATAATGCAGTCCGAATCACCACTGCTCACCTTTAAAAATCATTCGGAATCTCGGGCTAGAGGAAGACCTCCAACTAGATGGCTGGATGACACTGCTAAAGATATAAAAGTATTAAAGATAAACAACTGAAAAAAAGTCGCCATGGACAAGAGGCGTTGGAGGCTATGTGTGATTGAGGCAGCCAAGGCCTGTAAGGGGCTTTCTTGCTGAAGAAGAAGAATGTATTTAATATATATTGCATATATCTGTTAATTTGCGCAATATTTAATAAGTAAAATTTTCATTTTCAATTTTGTATTTACTGTACAAATTTACAGATATATTTTTCTTCATATTTTAGGACTGTTCCTTTCGGAATTTCAGGTACTTTTTTGCTTGCCTCATTCAGCTCCTAACTATTAATATAACTTTTATTGTTACTCATACTAAAATTCCTACACTTAGAATTTCTTTACCTTTAGTTAAGTGCGTCAAACAAACTTTTGCACATTAGGCATTTAAGGTAGGAGTGTACAACCTTCCAATGAAGGGCCGCCTGATGAAGTATTCATTCAGACATATTGACAGCAATTTTTATATAAACATCATTGTTCTAGGCACTAAATTCTTTTTTTCAGTTAACCTTGTAATATCTTTGCATAAAATTAAATACTTATAAATGTTTAAAATTTGAAACTGCAAAACAGATTATTTAGGAAAAAAACAGAATCAGAAAATCAGAAACAATTTATTAGAAAAAAATTAAATAAATTGAAATAAACTTAAGAAAAATTTATGTTTCTTTTTTATCATATTACATAATACAAAAGTCCATTTAAACATAAATTTTAACATTAGAAAAATTGTTCATAGAATTAAATTAAAAAATAAATATTCTAGTAATTAAAATAAATGTAAGATAAAAACTTTGATTTAAAGAAAGTTTTTGAGGTTAAAATTATTAAAATTAAAACGATCAAAATTAAAAATGATGAAAAAATGCAATCGAAGAACTACATTGAGATTGGGTGAGTTAAAAACTATTTAATTTCAAATTTTCGAAATTTTTTAATTTAAGCAAAATTCTTTTTTCATTTTGTTTAGATTGCTGCCATGGGCCGCACATCGAGGGTCGGATGACCGCATATGGCTTGAGGGCCGCATGTTGGGCACCCCTAATTTAAGGGGTAAAAAAAGTATAAAACATAGCTTTTTAGTCTATGTTGACAGTTCAAATTTCACAAGATAATTGTAAACAAGTCAATTTAAGTTTAATAATAATTTTAAATTAATCAAAATTACAATCATTTTCGCTTATAAGGTGCTGGTGTTTGTAAACTCGTTGTATTAGAACCTAAATACTTTTTTTCAAATTAAATGGGGTGAGCTCAGTTTTTCATTACATAATAATTTGCTCCTAAATATCACGAACCTGGTTTAAGACATAAATAATGATGGTTCATTTTTCACGCCTTTTATCTTCCTGTAAAAAAATATTTTGTTTGTTTTCAACTATGATTTTTTTTATAGCTTGGAAAATTGCTTCTTACTTTAAGGTATGATTTTTACTACAAACAAAAATTTTATAACTAATGTTTGAGCAATTTTAAAAGTTACATGAATACTGTTAAAATATCTTATAAAAAGAAATATGTCGAGATAAGTTGTTTTCAGCTGTCATTATAATTATCTATTTATTTAAAATGATGAATAAAGTTTTTCTCTTAGATTTCTACAAAGTCTAGTTTAAAAAATTTCTTGTAGAAGTTTTATTTTGTATGCACTATTAGAATTTTTTTTCTCAATACATTTCATTAAGCAATGCAATTCAGAAAATAATTTTGAAACATGCTTTTGAAGTAACAAGTTTGACTGTATATACAATACTAATTTATATTAGTATAGTATACATTTTAGAAATTTTATAAATAAGAGTTAAGGAAGCTTCCTTAGAATCTTCTACCCTTGTTTGTGTGTGTGTATATATATATATATATATTAATTTTAATTTACTGTAAAGCTTGTTCATTGATAGTACATAATTTCCGTTCAGCTCTTGACTTATAAATATGAAGACTTGACTATGTTTGAAAGTGTCAGTAATTTAAAATTATGTTTACTTTAAAATGATAAGTACAAAATAAAACAATGTTTTGTCAAATATTGTGTTTATTTTAATTTTTATGCTTTTTAGTAACTTTTAAAACTATAATTGCAGTGCGTCAGCTTTAAATAGTTGCAAGAAGTCAATTGATCATCAGCAGAAAACCACAGACACAGCAGTAAAAACCTCTGGTAAAAAGACAAGTATGCGTAGATCTACCAGCTCTAATCAAGTTAATTGTCGCCATCGCAGTGGTAAAAGTTCTCAGTTCAGCAAATCCACTTTTGGTGGCCATAGGTTAGGCATTGCCCATGGCAATTACAGTCCGAAAAAATGCAGCAGTTCTCCTCCATCCACGCATCATTCTAGAAATCAATTAGGTATTTTCTCTTATACTTGCTAATGTTTTACACATTTCTTTAGCTCTTATTGTTTCAGGTATGATATAGAAACATATGAAACAAAACAAAAATGTTTGTTAGGAATTATTAGTTTCTTCGAATTATTAGTTTCTAATTATTCTTTATAAAAAATGACACTTTAACCTATCCACAACGGGAGTTGCAAACACACTTTTGGCTGAGGCTGTGAGCTTCAGTCACTAGTGCCTGTTCAGTCCAGGGGATGTTTTGCTGTCAAGCCTTAATCCATGTAGGCACCAAAATATGAACATGTGCTGTGTGCCAAAGAAAAAAAAACAGGACTAGCTTTTGATCTAATGATGACATTCTAGGTTTCAATCTTAATGGTTCGCAGGAGTGACCTCAAATATGCTAACTAATTAGTGCAGACTGTATTTTCTTTCTCTGAATAAGCATACCTTTTTTTTGTTGATGGATTCGGATTTTTAAAGTTAAACCCCTTTTTCGAGTGGATGTGTCAACCAGCAGATGATAGTGTTTCGTGCTTGCACCTACATGTGATAATTGGCACAAAAGGGTTATAGTCTAACCCTTTTGTGCCAACACTTATTAAAAAATAATGTGGAAAAATTATGGGAAAATTTGTGAACAAATTATGGGAATAGTCTAACCGTTAGACTATTCCCGTAATTCCCCCCCCCCATCCTTCCAAAGTTTCAGTGCTTTTTGTCTTTGATGTGTTTAATGGGCATTGTTCTGTTATTGCCAAATTTTTTTTTAAATGTAATTAAAAACAGTCTTATTTATGAGATTTGATGTTTAGATGATATCTTTCTTAGATTCAATGTCATCTTGAGTTTACTAAAAAATAGAGTTCTGTATATTTTGCTTCTGCAAGCTTGACTATCATTGATGAACTGTAAAGTTTGATTTTAAAGTAAAACTGTCTATTTTTATAATAGTTGAAATATATTTTGTGGTTTTTAAATAAATTTTATTAGTTTCAGTTTTTCCATGTTACCTTGATAACGGTGACCCAGAACTTACATCCAATACAACTGGTCTTGATATGGAAAGTTTATTAGATGATGAAGAGGATTACAGTAGTGATCTTAGTGCCACAGCAAGTACTCTGGAACCAACTGAAGTGTCAATGATCAGAAAACAGCTTGAAGGCTTGGAGACAATGTATTCTGAGGTGAATTTTTTTAATTTCTCACTAGTCGAATGTTTGAAAGGTTCAATTTTTTTTGTCGTTTTTGTTTCTTCTTAATTTTGTTTTTTTACTTTCTTTCCTAAATCTTCTTAATTAAAAAAAAAAATAGAACCAGAGACAAACATGTTCATTTTTACATATTTCAATCAGGTTCAAGTCCTTAAACTTGTTTAAATTATTTCATAGAATGTTTTAATGTTAGTTAAAATGTATTAAGTTATTCCAAATTGATCCGTCATTTTTATTTTGTTTAATTTGCTTTTCCAGTTATGTATGAAGGAAAAATTTAGATTAGACAGAAAAAGAAATTTTTTTTAATGAAAATGCTCAATTCTAATGAAATTATCTATGATTATTATTCCTATAACAAAGTAATTTGACTTTAAAATACATTTCCGTACTTTTATTTATTATTTAAATAATTTGTTATCTGCTGTAAGAGAAATATTCTAAATTAGATTGAATAGCATAATTTTTGTTCCTCAGTGTTTTAAAGCTGAAAGAATTTCAATTTTGTAATACAAAATATTTTTAACTCATTAATGCCTGGCAGTAAAAGATTGTTAGTATGAATTTCTCCATTATCTACTGTATATTTCTGAATATAAGTTGAAAATGTTCAAAAGTTAATGTGGGGTGTCAGCTTTTAATCGGATCCACTAACTTTGAAAATTTCCTGGAGGACATCCCCAACAGAAATACTTTTCTTTTTGTCAAATATTAGCAATAATCAGTAAATATTATGAAACATATATACAGAACATAAAGGTACATAAAATAATAGTTGTAAACAGAGTGCCTATATATAAAAATTACACTTATTCTTCACTTTATCAGTTTTATGAGCTGAGAATGAATCGTTTACCTTGGTAGGTTTTTTAAACAAAGCGGTTCTTTGTGATGTTTTACTTAAGCTTTCTCCTAAGTTAATAGATGTTGACATTAGTCAATAATGGTAAGTGAAAAGCCTGAAGAAGGAGAGAGGGGAGCAAACCTGGTTGGGTTAATAATATGATAACTATCTGTCTGGCAGTCCCTTTCCTTGGTCCTTTGTGATGCTTTACTTTAGCTTTCTGCCAAGTTGAACTGCTGATGTCAATCTCTAATGGTAAGTGAAAAGCCTAGAGGAGGAGAGAGGGGAAACAAAACAGGTTGGGCTCATGATATGACACCAATCTTTGTTGCTCATCTGAAATACTTGCTGATTAAAGAGTGGGTACATTTCCAAGAGTAGCGTGCGTGCCTACTTTTACATCGTTTTTTTACACCAGTTTTGAATTTTGGGTGAATTTCCAAATAACAAGTGTACTCCTCTGTTAAATACAGATGAGCATTTGAAACTTTTATTTTCAATCTCTTAATTTATTTAGTTTCTAAAATAAATAATATTTGGGAAATTAAGATTTTGTTTTGATTATAGTTTTTAAAAAGTAGTTTTAAATTGTTTTGTTGTTTGATTTATTTAAATAACAACTGTCTCAATAAGCTTGTTTTTACAATCTATGCTTTTTCATAGTATATTATTCCATTAACGATAATATTCAACTTGATTCATGATATCTATGTTTAATATTTATAGATCTTACACCTTTTGGGTGTAAAAAACTCATGTAAAGCCAATCCATTTGCTGCTTCAATAGAAACATCACGTCATTCTAGACACAAATTAAACGGTAGCCTCTCATCATTAACAGGACCTAGTTCTACTAGTCGCGGAAATCATAGTTTTATGGAAAAGAGGAGTGCATCGGAGAAAAGGCGTACAAGAGAATGCAGGACAAGGTATTTGCAAAAATGCTCTTCAGTTCTTTTTTTTCCTTCCTTCCTCAACGGCACGACAGCCCCGGGTGGGCCCTGGCCTTCTCAATTAACTTCCTCCAGGCCTGCCTCCGCCTGGCAGTTGTCTTCCAGTTTGAGACTTTTAAGACTGAAAAGTCTCTTTCCACGCAGTCGGCCCATCTCAGCTTTGGTCGACCTCTGGGCCTTGATCCGATGGGCTGAGCCGAAAAGATTATGTTTGTGGAACGCTCTCTGTTCATTCGAATGATGTGACCAGCCCATTTAATTCTTTCTCTTTTTTTTGCATTGTCATAAAATCTGAGCATAATTTATTTTTCTGTGAAATCATGTGATTTGTCGATAGAAAATAATTTCTTTTTGTGTGAACTAATATTTTTTTATTTTTAACTATGAACATTACAAATAAGAATGATTATTTTTTAGATTTTAACTATCAAAAATTACATAGAAATTAATAGAAACAGCTTGAGTTTATTGATGTTGCATTCAGTTATAAATATTTCTTTTTTTCAAAAAAGGGGAAAAAATAGCGACGTTTATTTAATAAATTTTTTTAGATGTTTATTGATTTGGTTGGTAATCTTGTAGTTTTTATTTAAAGTTTTTGGTTAGAGGTTAATATTTTTTTTTTCTGATTCAGTTGACAGCAGGTTGAGGATTTAGACAAATTATTGTGAGATAGACTATGATAAATGAATGACTAAGTGAAATTTATGAGTGTTAGAACTGGTTGGTATATGTTAATCATAATATGATTTAGTTATGTGCAACCTATATATTCAACTTCTTACTTGTTGTGTGATATTTTTTCTTATATTATTTCTGCCAAAATTGATTATTTTAATAATTCTAAACTAATTGATTTTTGATGTCTATGTATTGCTAGTGAAAAGATATAAAAGAGTGATAAAAGGAAATTGAGTTGTTATCCAGAGTTTTTTTTTACTCTCTTGCTATATGTTTCATTAACTTATACAGCATTATAAATAGAGTTTGTCCAGTCACATAATCTAGAGCAAAAACCACAAACTAAGAGCACTCCAACCATATACTCAAAGTGCTAAATTAGTGGAGGGAAAAAATTTTCAAAATGATATTTTTTTTCCTTAATGATTTTTAAATCTTACATAAGCATAGCTTGAATCCCTTTCCTTTTTGTCTGAAAAAAAATAGCAAACTTTGTATATGTATTTCTAATATTTGTATCTTTAAAAATGAAATATTTTTTTTTTTACTCATTTGTTGCAAATTTAAGATTTTATTAGTAAATATTACAGTTATATACTTTATAATGTTTTAGTTCTGCTGGTAAACGTCTTCAAAGATTAGAGAGTCATGTTGTTACTTTAGCTAGAAGTGTAGCTCACCTTTCTTCTGAAATGAGAACTCAACATGTTCTTGTTCAGGAGCTAGAAAATATGCGGCAAGATGTGACATGGGTTCAAGAACGATTGCGATTGATGCAACTTGCTCAAGGATGTCATCCAAATAATGGTGGGGGAAGGAATCCAGCTATTGCAGCACCAAGAGCTTGGGATAATTTTCATAAAGAGGTTATAGAATTGCTGAACCCTTGCAGAGCAAAAAAATTGACTAAGTTAGTATAGCTTTTTATGTTTTGACTTGTCCAAATGTTTATGTTTTAATTATGAATGCTTATGTTTTAATTTGTCAAAACTGCATTTTTATAAGAAATAGACTGTGTAACAAATGAGGAGCTTAGTGGCAGAACCAGCTAAGTGACATTTATGAGTATCAAAGTTCATGCATTCCTCCTTTTCTTTCCGGAAAACTTTGTCTTAAGTATGTTAAGTAAACCAATCAAAAACGATTCAGAGGTAGCGTGAGCTGAAATTTTGTGGAGTAGATATTTTATCAGTATGTATCACTTAAATTGTCAAGAATTCTGTAATTTTTTTTATCTTAAAAGAGTATTCTTTTAATCAGCGCTGATTGTGGTCAAACTGTTACATCATATTATTACATATAAAGGTGTTTCTGAAATTAACTAAAAGTATTTTTAATAGTTCTCATATTAAGAATATCTAGGTATTTTTGTGGAAAAACATAAATTATTTTTAATTTTTCATTAAAGCATTGTAGTTTCACGTAAGAATGATACTTTTTAAATTATAAAACAGTATTGGGTATTTTTCTATTTTGGTAAATGATCATGATTAGTTTCGCAACTCTCATTTTTCTTCATAATTCAGTTTATTAAGTTATTACTTCACGAATTTCCGCCGTTGATCACCAATCTATTCAGTGGATATGCCACTTTTTTCTTTTCATTTTCTTAGTCTTGAATCTAGAAGACAAAAGAACATGTATTTAAAAAACATGGTGATGTTCACTTTCAAGAAGAATTATTTTTAGTAAAACTAATTAGCATTGCACAAAAAGGCGGTAAAACTACTAAAACCTTTTTAGCCTACTGTCACTGTAACTCTATTAAAGTATAATTTGCATCAACACTGCGATCTCTGTTGGCAAGAAGGAAAATAAATTTTATCCATATATCTCTGTGATTCCTTCACATGTATTCATCTGTCTTCACTAAGCCATGCCAATTTTTATCAAAAATTTGCCATTAGTTTTGCCAAATATATAAGATATCAATTCAGATTTAACTCTTAATATTTTAAGTGGGCGCATATATCTTAAAGATTGCTGATGAGCCCTTTGTTATCTTCAATTTCAAAATAATATGAAAAATAAAAAAGTTTTTGGTAATTACTAATATTATGTTAATTGATACTATTTTAATATGTACTATGCATGCTAATAAAGGTATCACAATACCTACTATAAGTACTGTAAAAATAGGTTTTTTATATCCTAGCTAATTTGATAAATATCGGAGGAATTTTTTGATTATGGTAATTTTTTACTCTCATGAGTTGATCTTGAGCAATAGATTTATGCCAAATTATACTAAACATTGTTAATTTTGATTTTGCTAGGATGAACTTTTAAAAACATGTTTTGATTAATCTAATGAAATAAAGGCACCAAAAAGAGCTGCAAATAACAATAAATAAAAAAACTGGAATTGTTTTAATGTGTTCTCTTCTTTTTCTCTTGTAATGTATTACTTATTATGGTATTTTATGTAAAATTATTGCTTGGGTTAAAATTCTTTTTGTATGATTGAAATAATGCCCTTAAATTATTTGGTTTAAATATAATTATTGAATGCAATTAAATTTATTTTAATTAAAATCTCATGTGTTATTACCAACCATTCTTGCAGTTTCCTATTTTTTTTAAGTATTGCATAGTTTGTCAAAATGATAACAAAATTTTATAAAAAATATTTACCATATTTTTGTCCACTCTTCTCACCTTCCATTTGGATGAGTATTTCATTAGTAATCTGTTGCCACCTTATTTTCGTCTGCAAATAATATAATTTAATGAAATGGAATAGCACATTGGTTACATTATTCTGAATTAATAATATTTATTTTTTTGAATTGCAGATTTTTTGGTGATGAGCCACCTCTAATTAGGCAGTTTCTAAAGCGGTTAGGATATGAGGTATGTTTTTTCTTGTAATGATTTTTAATGAGTAGATATAAAATGGAAAACTGATTATGTTTATAAGTTACTTATAATTATAGAAACATTCTTATTATGAAAGAGAAAATGTTAGTTTAAATAAAGAAATTAATAACTTGATTATTTTGAATAGAAACTTGTCAAAGTGCATTATAGTATATTTCTAACAGAACCTATGTTCATAAATTGTCTATGGTCATTCTAAATGTGAAAAATTCCTGAGTTAAAGTACTTTTAGTATGATTGAAATACTATCTTAAAATTATTTGGTTTAAATATAATTATTGAATGCAATTAAATTTGTTTTAATTTAGTTTTAATCACTAGTCTAAAGGCAACTTTTTATTAAATGGACAGAAAGTATTTGCAGTATAGTTTCTTAGAATTTGTAATAGTTAATTATATTAATACTGATTCTTAGTTTTAAAAAAAATTCTACATATTCAAAAGGTTTAATTACGCAACCTTATAGAAGTCTGTATGCAATATTCTTTGTTGCTTGTTGTAAGAAAGAAGAGGCTAATGTGGACAGGTTTCACAAATTTGCCAAAAAAAAAACAACAAAAAAATTTATTAACCATTATTTTGAATATATTTTGTATTTTTCTAGTTAAAATGTTAACGAAAAAAAAATCATTGTCTTTATTATGAATTATAGATAAGCTAATTTGGATGTAAAGTTTTCTAATAATCTTTTTTTAAAAATTTTTTGTTAGACATGTAAATAGGCTGGGGTTGACACTTCTTTAAACTCACTCTTTAATCTAGCATTACTTATTTTAAAGAATCAAGTCAAATCAATATGGAATTAATTTTAGTTTAAAAGTACTGTTTTGAGTAGATAGCCTTACTTAAAAAAATTAATGTTAAAGCCTAATAAAAACTTAAATTCCAACTTCTTCATTTTAGCGAGAGTTTTTTCTTGATTATTTAAAGTGGTAGCCTTTTTTTTAATTTGATATTTCATTTTTGGTATAATAAAGTTGTTTGATGATGATTTGGCAACTAGGATATTTAAACAATTAAAATAAATATGCAACAACTGATGATAGTGAGCAGAAGTTTTTAAGTGATGGCCAAAATAAGAATTTTTACTAACATTAATTGTTATTACACTAAATTTTGTAATAATCTACAATTTCTAATTCTAGAAATGTGTAAATATTGTATCAGTGCTCTTTGAAGTTCTGAAAACTTTAAATACTGGTAACGAAAATAAAACAAAATTTGATCGTTTGCTAAATTTGTGATCATCACTGTGCATTATTTTGCAAAGTGAATATCAGCATGAGAACTGAGGGCTACTTGATCTCTAAACATTAGCATTAGAGTAAATTTACTACCACTAAAAAGTTAATCTTCACACTTACCTCTATCTCTTACTGCACATCCAGACTAGCTGTGTGTAGTCATCAGTTCTTTTATTCGTTAATTAAAAAAAAGTTAATCAAAAGTGACTCCTAAAATATGTAATAAGCATATTCATTTATAATATAACTCCTATTTTTAAATAATGATGAATTAAAATAGTTTAAACTTGCAATTAAAGCAAAAATTAAAGTTACTTTTCCACCATTTATTACTTATTTATTTGCTGCATAACTATTTCGTGTTTTGTCTTGAAACTATGTCTATGAAACTGTAACACAGTTTTGCCAATCTGCTATAATTTACAGAGTCTTTTAAACAAAAGTATTACATTTGTCTGCACTAGCCCCATGTCAAGACTACCTCCTCTCCCCTATTTCTTATGAAAAAAGATTTTTTTTTTGGAAGTGATATAAGGAAAACTATTCTAAATTTTCTTCTGTTTTATATGTTAAAATTTCTATCTCAATGCTATGGTTTTATTGTTTTGGTTACTTAATTAACTATACTGTAACAAATCGTAATCAAAAATACAAATCATTATAAAATAGTGTTAACCAAAATTATTATGTGTCTCTAAATGTTTACAAAAAATCACCATCTTATATGTTACAGATCTATGAAACTTAATGTAAAGGTATGAAACTTCATGTAATGTAAAGACGTAAGTTCTATAAAAAAAATTAAAAAAAATACCAAATAAAAGTAAATTTAAAATGAATTGGAACAAAATTTAATTTGAGAAAATTAACTTATGTTTATATTACAAAAACTAAGATGTTTTTTTTTTAGTTTTTGTAATATAAACCTAGGATACAATTAATTTGAATGTTATTTACCACATTTTTGTGAAGAATTAGTACAGAAAAGAAAAACTCGTGACAAAATGTACCATATAAATTGAACTCAAAAATTTTGAACCTTAAACCATTGTGTAACAATTGGTAAAGTTTTGCTGCTTTTCTTATACCTTTTGAACTAATTTCCTTCATATTTTGTATTAGTATAATAATTTGAATAAAGGTTTTTTGTATTAGTATAATAATTGGTTGAATTTTATTGGTCGAATATAAAATAGTAAAAACTCTCCAATTAAATAAAGTAATTCAGTGCTAAAAATTGCAAGTTTCTGACAATTATTTTAAAATATTTTGGAAAAGTAATTAGAAAAAAATTGTCATAGAAAAGATTTTAACAAAATACCAATAAGAATGCGCAAAAATGCGAATTTAAGATGTTGTAATTAAATATTTATATGAATTTTATTTTTGTGACATATTATTAAGTTTTATAAAAAACCTCATAGTCTCTAGAAGAGTAAATCTATTTAATGCATTTTTATGTTGTGCTCTTATGTGCAAAATAATATATTTTTATTTTTTGTTTTTAGAAATATGCTACAAACTTTGAAACTGAAAAAATAGGAATAAAGGAATTACCATACTTAACTGAAGAACGTTTGCAAAAGATGGGAATTCCTATGGGACCTCGTATTAGAATTCTACAAGAAGCCATATCTTGTTATCCACAAAATCAATATAAAGTGTATATTGTTTAATCTATATAAGCTGTCTCAACTTTTTATTATAAAAGTTACTGTTCAGCATTTTTGTTTTTAAGGCTCATGAAATCCATTTTCAAGATTACAACATGATTTTGTGTAAGGATAATTCACAAAGAGTGAAACCCTTATTTTTAATATGTTTTCTCATTTATCTAAATCTTAATCTCAGAAATATATTACACCAGTTTTTTTTTTTTTCATTTTGTTAAATCAATGTCTAATAAATTTTGTTTTCTAATTTTTTTATGACTGGAGCTCATAGCAGTGAATTTAAGTTCTATTTGTATATAAATAAACTTTATTGTAATATTTTTTCTGTTTTTCTATTTGTAAATGTCACTTGTTTTTAAACCGTTTTTGTACTGTACATATTGTTTGAAATTTTTCTCTTATACAAAAAATATTAAAACCTTTGTGATTTTTTTTACACCAAATAGGTTTCCAAATATTTCTTTATACAGTTGTTTTGTCTATCATTTGTATATTTCATTCCATAAATGTTGTAAAATGTAATTGTACTTATAAAATGCATGCATTGTGATAATGAACAATTTTTTTCTACTTAATTTTTCTACTCCTCATTTGTTGTAAAATGTTGTTTCATTATAATTTTTACCTATTCAATCTCATAACTACTTACAAAAAGTAGCATCATGTTTTTATTTGAATGTTGAATATACTTTTCTTGTATTATGTTGAAAATTTTATATGTATTTTTTTACAACAAATAATAAAACTGAAAATTTTTCTTTTTGATTTCTTATGATAATTTACATAGAATATAAGAAATGATTTATATGTACCAAATCAAATCAGATGAAATACTTTTTTTTTTGGTTAATGTTAAAATATGTTATTTTTATCACTTATATAAAGTTCTGAAATATGACACAAACATAATGAAACTTTTAAAAATAATATTCTAAAGAAATGTCTTAAACCTAGCTTGAGTTTAATTTTTTCTCCCATTTGTAGGCGTCTAATGATCCCTTAAAATTATTAAAGTGGTGGTATATAAACTTTTTTTTTTTTAAAGTTAACATGAAACATTTCTGATCAAAATAATTTGATAATACAAAAACATGCAAAGAGTTATTTTATGAATGGGGTGAAAATTTATCACATTTAAGTGGGTGCTGAGCCAGATGAATTTCCATTGCTTTGATGATGAGTTAACTACCTCTATAACAATTTTAAGGGACCACTGGGATGCCTTGCATTTGAAAACTTGAGCATTCAAGTTGATGATCAAAGCAGTTATTTACAATCACTTTGTGAAAGTACAAATGAAAAAAGGAAAAACAGTGTGAACTTTCCCATTGCGTCATAGAATCAACTGAATAATTATAGCCAAGGGCCAAAATAGACGTTTCTTATTATCTCCTATGAAGACTATTTTTCCTACACTGGGCTCACAAGATCGTTTATCATTATGTTTCTGCACCAGCTGTCCAATATATTCCTTCCTAAAGCTCTGTCGTAGATCATTTAATAGTTTAATTCTATATTTTTTATTTTACTAGGACTTAATGAATCCAATCATATCATCATCAATATCCTCAACATTGGAACTCCGGTTCTCGATATGAAACATGGTGGGTCTTAGAGGGATCAACTCTTCCAGATCTTCTGATACTGAAAGTAATATTAGGCTTGATTATACAATTTCGGACCCAATGATATGCATTAGTAATTCCTAGCTTAGCACAATATTTACATGGCTTAGGAGGTAGCTCCTGAGAAGTGTAGGCAAAATGACTTGTTTTTGGTTTATTTTTATTAAATTTGTCACTTTCTTTATGAGTTCTAGGTTTACTTTGGAATTGTTAGTTGAAATTTTGATTTTTGTCGTCGATTATTATAATAATTTGGATTAACCAAGTTATTAATAAATTGCCACCTTGGTGTCCAGCCTTGAAATTGTTGTCTATACCCACTAAATTTTGATTCTGGTATTTTTTCTTTTTGGAGTAAGGCAGTGGGGGCTTCATAAGTTATTTTTTAAACAATTTTTAGCCAATCGATAATGGTTTTGGGTTCTTTTAGAACTAAAAGTGTCTTTATTTGTAGGGGTAATTCCATAAGCTAACCCTCAATTATATGTTCATTACTTAAATTTATTCTAAAATATGAGTTTAGTTCTTTAGCTCGGCTAGAAAATTTTGAAAACCATTTAAACCAAATGGAGGTGAAAAATAATGTTCTTGGAGAAATTTCAACTATTTCCTGAAAATAATAATAATATAAACAGTTATTAATAAATAATTTCAAAGCTGAATCACGAATAAATTTTTGAAAATTTTTAAGTTTCCGTTCTTTATTTAATTTAGAATTTCTAGTTTGTTTTTGGAAATGTTCGCGACTGACTATGAACTGAACACCTACGGCAGGCTCAGATATTAATATGGCCGGTTTTTCTTCGGTTTATCTTCATTAAAATTTAAATTTTGAAAACTAGTATTTAATTTATCTACCAAACTATTTTTATCCCTTATTACATAATTTGACTCTTTCACATTTAATTTATAATTTTTGCCACTTCTTAAAGGCATTTAAACATTTAAAATAAATTACAATTTTTGAATGTTTTAAATTGAGAGAAAAAAATTTAAATATTTTTTTTTGTATTAAAATCAAGCACCACATAATTAATTTCAAAAATTCTAAAATTTTACTCTTGAATGTATTATGTAACACATATACTAAACATTACTAATATTAAGAAAAATAACTTGCAATAATATAATTATTATCTAAATAAGGAATATGATCAACAGAAATAAAAATTATTTTTTACCAATTTTCATTATTAAAATAACCTTTTATGAAAATCAATTACTTTTTTCATAAATTGAAATGCTATATAATTTTAAAAATTGTCAATATCGCAAAATGCATGTCAAATAACTATCTTTCAATATGAAGATTAATTATATATTTGTTCAGTAATCAAAATACGAATAATAAGGTCTATACATTTCGAAAAAAACTCAACACGTCTAGCATATATTGCCAAATACGTTGACAATATAACTTAAGAATTGTTCCCACCTCCACCTCAAAGATGTGGAACGCACGCACATGCGCGCTTTTCATAAGAACATTTTAAAATATTCTAAAACACTTATCTCCTCACACTATAAAATGGCAATACTTTTGCTTCCGTTACTTGTAACGAAAGTAAAAAGTACGTAATTTTTCTTGTACTTCGTAAATTTTTAAACTTCGTACCTTTTAAAATTATATTTTAGGGAAAAAGTACCAGTATTTGTAACGAAAATGTCGGAGAAATCATTACTTTGTCTGGATTTTTTTAAAAAGTTTTCTCAAAAATTCCCCCCTCGCCCGAAAGCTTTGAATTTTTTCCTCAGAACAAATCTCTGCTTTCTCTTCCAATACCCTATGCTAAAAGTCAAGGCCATCAAACATCTCCATCTCCTTATTCAGGGCTGATTGTGCTCCCGAAAAAATCCGGAATTTTCGCTAACAGTGATCCGGAAGTTTCCGGAGATCGAATGTCCAGACGTATCAGAAAATCATTGATCACAGAAGTTTCCGGGAATCAAATTTTCAAAGGTGAAACTTAAAAACACGGTTTATTTTATTTGTTTGTAAGGGAGAGCCAGAGAGATACTTTATAAGCTTATATTCCTGATTAATATTCATTTTTTATCAGTAAATAGTTATAATCATAAACTCAAGAAAGAAAGACATATTTGTAAATTTTAATTACTTCTCCAGGTCATCATAGGTATGTGTAAATGTTATAGGTATGTGTAAAATTTTAAATATATTTTAAGAAATACTGAGAAAAATTTAAAAAAATCTTGTTCAAATTTTTTTCAATTTAAACTTTTTTTTTTTAACTCAAGAAATTTTCCGGAATTTTGACTTGAGCTCACAATCACCCCTGTTTATTACAAGGCCTTTTGAAAGCAACTGGGGGGGAGGGAACATGAAACCCCTTAATTGGCCTGAAAAAATAGCAATTTCAGTGAGAAACTGAAGTTCGAAGGTCATTTGGTGTATCTCAGCCCAATGTCCAACTTTCTCCAGACTTATCTTTGGGTATTCTTGTTTACCATTTAGTCAGTTGTGAAAACCTCTTTGAAAAATTTTTTCCGAATTTGTAGAATAGATTTAACCCCTATTGTAAATTGGGTAGAAAGAAGAAAAAACGCATATCCCTCCACAGAAGATGCCACCCACGTTTGGACAAAAAGGAGACTTCTTTGACTCGCTTGACAATTAATTTGAACCTATCAAACAATTTAAGATTGAATACTCCCCCTTCTGTTCTGAAAAATAAAAACAGATGAAAGATGCGCGTTTAAAGATGTGTAGTTCCTTTCTTTACCTTTTGAGAAAAAAAAAAAAGATTTTTATTTTTAGTTAGCCTGTTTATCGCAAACCTCTTTATCTCAAAAACCTCTATATCTCAAAATTTCTAAAATTCCTCACATTTACTATCTAAAATCAATGTATTTTCCATGTCTTTCTCGAAAACATCTTTTTCAAAACCTCTGTTTCTCGAAAACATCTTTTTCAAAACCTCTGTTTCTCGAATAATAATAATCGAGCACAAATGCCCAAACAGCATAACAAGCAAGACATCAAAAATTCAGTGTTAAAGTTAGGTTAAATATGGTGTAATCAATTTACAGAAATACATGTATTTTTCTACTAGAAACTATTAAAGCACTTTTAATCAAAGTACCTGTATAACTCTTTATCAAAAATTTTTCTCCTTTCCCGTGAGATTTGAGATAAACAGATTAGACGTGTTTGATTCTGAAAAGTAATTATTTCTTTAAATATTCAAATAAATGCATTGAGTCATAGCCAATTTATTTACATCCGTCTGATACGTTAAAATTTGTTACTACTATGGCATAGAATCAGTGGAGGGATCAAGAAGAAACATTCGCAGCTTTCTCCCTCTACTAAATTTAAAATTACACTGTGCAATTTTTATATGTGACTATTTTAAAATTTTAATTGCTAAAATTTCTTTGTAATTTTTGGAAATTTATTTCATTAGAAAAAAAAAGTTTACTTTTTTTCCCTTTTTTTTTTAATGTACTAAACAACTTTGCGTTTCGTAAAATATTAATACAACAGTGAAAATTTTTTTTTTTCAATTGCGTATACTTAGTACTATATTTAATTCAGAATATTATAATTTTTTATTTATTTTACAATTAAGTTGAAATAATATGATAAAACTGAAAACCTTTGGTTTTGTAGATTTGAACATATTTGTTAAAATTGTTGTTAAAATAGTAGATTTATTAAAATTTAGGATAACATAGGTAAAAGTGTTTTTTAAAATTAAGAAGAAAAAAATACATGATTTTTCAAATATTTTGATTAATTTTTTCTATTTGCAATCTCTCCGTAAAAAAACTTTGGATATCTTTGGTTACTAGTACACCATGAATGTTGGGATTTCAATCATTAATTTGGCTCAAAAATTGTATCCCATCAAGGAAATATATAAATAACAACAATAGTTATAAAAATGAGCAATTTTGAAACCAAATTTTTTACTTGATGGTATTTTTATGAAGCGAATGTTATATTCCTAGCTCCTATACTCAGTAAACCTTTCAATTTTTTTTTTAATAATAATAATAATCTAGAAATGATTAATCTATGATGTTAGTAATGATGTTTCAACCCTAAAAATCCAGCAATGATTTTGCAGTTCGAAGACAAAATAAAACTTATAAAGTAACGTTTTTTTCTAATCTTAA